ATGAAATACTTGAAAAAATAACCTTAGAAAAGAAGATCTGTTATTTTTTTATGAGATTTCAATATCAATTTGCTCAATTGTGATTCTCACAACCCAACGCGTGAGTTTTTAGATACTCTATATTCCCACTCCTTTCGCCCCACAATAGACAAACCAACAAGAATAACGCGTAACACAGCTACCCTTATTGGTAACATTTTCACTAACAGCGTAGATAATCATCAGGCAGCAATCATCACCTCTGAACTGAGCGACCACCTGCCTATTGTCTTGTTTGGTTCGAGTCTCACAAAAGTCAACAAATCTAAAACGTATTATTGGAAAAGAGACACTAGTGATTACAATATCTCATCATTGTAAAATAAGCTTCATGCAGTTCAGTGGAATGAAATTGTTACAGCTGAAAATGTGAATGATTCTTATTTGCAGCTAATTACCAAATTAAATGAGGAAATAGATATATATGTTCCTTATAAGAGATTTAAAACTAAGAAGACAATGAACAACCCCTGGATAACCAAGGGATTACTGAAATCAATTAGGCGAAAAATCAAACTTTATAAGTGTTATTTACATAACCCAAACGAAAGCAATAAAAAGAAATATAATAACTTTAGGAACAGGTTAACAAAACTCAAACGGATAGCAAAGAAAAACTACTACTCTGCTTCATTCGAAAAGGTCAAATGTAATATTCAAAATACCTGAAAAATTATTAACAATGTATTAAACAAAAACAAAAAGAAGTCGTTGGGTCCCGATTCATTTCTTATAAATAATACTGTACTAGATGATCCAGAACAAATTGCTGAACACTTTAACGAATTCTTTACAAACATTGGTCCTAATTTAGCATCCAAGATTCCTAATTCCCAATTAAACCCTACTGATTTTATTGAAGGTGATTTCCCAAATTCTTTTTTTATGACTCCAATAACAAACGATGAACTTTTGAAGTGTATCAACGGGTTGCCCGCTAAAAAAAAGTCCAGGTCACGATAACTTAGACACTTACCTCATTCAACAAATTTGCGGTTTTATTGCTGAGCCCTTGTTGAAAGTTTTTAATTTATCTTTATCGACTGGAATTGTACCAAATGAATTAAAAATTGCAAAAGTAATGCCTGTATTCAAAAACGGTGACCCTCAATTAATTTGCAACTACCGCCCTATTTCAATATTACCATGTCTCTCCAAGGTACTTGAGAGACTAGTTGCAAATCGCCTAGAAATCTTTATAACTAAGTACAATATTCTATGTGACTCTCAGTACGGTTTCCGTGCTAACTTCTCAACTCAGATGGCCCTTGTTGACCTTGTTGACAAAATCAGCTCATCCATAGACAAATCAAATCACACCATAGGCTTGTTCTTAGACCTTTCTAAGGCCTTTGACACTATTAACCATGACATTTTACTTTCAAAACTTAACAGGTATGGTGTTAGGGGGAAGACCCTGGACTGGTTTAGAAATTATCTTTGTGACAGGAAACAGTTTGTTGAATGGAAAAATAATAAATCAACCCTTCAGTCAGTTACTTGTGGCGTACCACAAGGCTCAATCTTAGGTCCATTACTCTTCCTTATATATGTAAACGATATTTGTAACTCTTCGAAATTGTTATCTTTTATTTTATTTGCGGATGACACAACCGTTTTCCTTAGTCACTCTAATTTAAATGAGCTTGTTTTAATTATAAACAAAGAACTTAAGAATGTCTCCATGTGATGTGAATGTAACAAATTGTCGGTAAATGAAAAGAAAACATGTTTAATGTTATTTTCAAAAAAGTACATTGATGTTGACATTAATATTCATATTAATAAATCTAAGATAAGCCAAGTAGATCATTTCAAATTTTTAGGTGTCATAATTGACTGTAACCTTTCATGGAAATTACAGTGCCAAAAGGTTCACATATCCATTTCCCAGTTATTGGGTGTACTACGTAAGCTTCGACATACACTACCTAGAAATGTCCTCTTCTCTATTTATAATACACTTGCATTACCCCATCTTCAATATGGAATTCTAGCATGGGGAAATCCCCATAGTACTTATTTGAATACATTATTAATAGTACAGAAGAAGCTGATGAGAGTCATCACAAACTCCGGTTTCAGAGAACACTCTGCGCCCCTTTTTAGACAATATAAAACACTGAATATATTTGAACTGAACAAATACCATCTAGGAATCCTAATGTTGAAATTCGAAGGCAACTACTACCTACAAATATCAGGTCCATGTTTGTGAGGAATCTAGATGTCAATTTACATAACACAAGATCAGCCAAAAAAATTCACATTGGCAAGGCTAGGACCACATCATTCATGAAAACAGTTAGACACCAAGGCCCTCTTCTTTGGAATCAGCTTACCCCTATACCATTCTTTCGGACTGTGCATAAATTCAAAAGATATTTAAAAAACCTACTAATTTCCGGTATTATATAAGACGTGCACCCATAATTCGCATTTGTACAAGTCACACTCCATCATAATCAAATGTTATATTGTAAATAAATACATGCATATTTCAATTTCCATCAGTTTTTCGACTATTATGCCAAGTAAATAATTAATTAATTAATTTATTGACCACTGTTTTAAATTATATCTATAATTGTTGTTTATTTCATAAGTTATTCACTAACGGGACCAGGCTCTGTATAAGCTTAGGCTTTTTTCCTGGTTCCCCCATCTGTCACCATTTATGTTAAATTGATCAAAGTGTTGTACATGTATTATTATTCTAGTAAGTTAAGTTATTGTTGTAGTAAATAATCTGTTGCATTTGCATTATATTAATTTGTGACAAATGGAAATAAAAACAATACAATACAATACAATATTATCGCAAGCTCTGTACTACAGAGCTTGCGATAGTACCGTACGGCCAGACGCAGTCGGGCTATTTTTACCCCAGACACTGCATACAAAAACAAACGCTAATGTAACGCGAATGCAGGCACCAGACTATTTCTCACTTGCATACACACGTGTTCATCTTGAGGTAGCAGACCAGTAAATAAACTTCCATAGACCCCAATGGTAAATGCTCCCACTTCAAAAATTCGGGAAAAATACTCACAACTCTCCAAGGTGTTCGAGACGCACATCAAATTAAAGCTTATTTCATCATCTTTCATTTTCTTTTCAATTTTCGGGGGGTCAACTGATGACTTTTAGGAGAAATTTCCATCTGAAGATGATCACCCCTGAAAATAGTCCTGAAGCCCATCGCCATTTTGAAAAACGATGCCTACACTCCATTGCAAAATAGAGCGCTTTTAGGGTCCAAATTACATCAAAATTACACAGAACTGCAAGCTCCCAGTCCTGTGCACGGCTTCCACCCATATTTTTTACAAACCCTCAAGTTCATGGCCCACAGCATGCCCAAATACCGAAGATTTTGAGGGCATGCAAATCGTGATTTGGCCGGCGCAGGCAATTTCGGACCGATTTACTGGTCTGCACCCTATAATCATGCACATGCAAATGATCCAATACCAGGGTGAGGGAGCAGGTAGTGATGGGCGCGTACGGCTCGACACCCTGGGGACGAGGTTGCCGTGATAGCTAACTGTCCCCAACCTCGTCCCCAGTGCTTACTTTATTTCCAACCTCGTTTCCAGTAGTAAGCCCTGGATAGGAAATTTTCTTCCTGTATCCTGATTCGATACCGCAATTGGCTAGAATTGGATTTATATCGTGTACTTGGTGTTGTTATTCACAACATGCACATGCTTGCACGTGCAAAATCATCCAATACCAGGGTGAGAGAGCAGGTAGTGGTGGGTGCGTACTGCTTGACACCCTGGGGACGAGGTTGGCCTGTCTCTATAATTATTATTTTGAAGTTCAAAGAACAATAGGGATAGGGAACCGGACTAATTATAAAGTATTTCATGGTCCTAAATTCACAACGCGCCGCCACAGCTGCATTCTGCTTGACATCGCGCAGTACGCGTGACGCGCGCGCCAACATCCATAAAGGAATTAGTTATGACTATACTCGCGAGCTGGACACTCCATTGTATAGCTAGAGGGGTGTTTTGAAGAAAGAAAAACATGAAGTGAAGTTTTTGAACAAATTCCCCTTTTTAGGAAAACAAGGCTATACTCTGAACAGGTTAATAGATCACGTTTAAGTTAAGTAGATTTGTTAAGTAGATGTTTAGGCTTAACATTGTCAATTGAATATCTAGTATCTAGGCCTAACGCCTGCATTATTGTATATTTTCTGCAAATTCATCTTGGTGTTAATGGTCACATTTTAGTTAATCAATGTAACTCAAATAAACCTGTAAGGGAAAATGACTTTCAATCTATATTTATACAGTTGAACCAGGAAAACCTCCAGAGTCCATAGAAGTAACCATACGAAAGAAGACCATAGGCCTACAGCCAAAGGGGGTAAAGAGAGAGGAACAAAACAGAAAAAAAATATGATGATAATGTTTTGTTTCTTAGACCTGTGGAATTTACTGATAATTTACTCGATTTATCTCGAGTGAACAATATCTGAAGTAGTGAAAAATATCTCGACAGCAATTTGAGACAACAATTGGCCGAAGTGAGGATAAGTCGACCATCTCCTAATTGAACAGCATACCGTGGCCTTCATTTAATCATTGCTGTCCAGGCTGCTGTCCCTCTCTTCGCCCGTGTTGGCTGCATAATGGTTGCTCCAGTTAATTTGAAAGTAATATTTATACTTAAAACAGCAGAAACACGATATTTTAGAGAGGTTTGACAGGAGTGTTCGTACTTAAAGGCATTAGGCTTATAGTCTTGCGCTTTTAATTTGCCTCATTCTTGCTTCTGCGCATCCGCGCATATAATTTGAATTACATGTGATAAGTGAACTGGTCTATTGCCTTTGGTTATTAGATAACGACAGGTGCCCTTCCTATTAAAGTAGCAGGGAGGAGTCTTTAGCAACATTGCATCAGTATCTTCGTCTTAGTACTTTCTTTTCTTTTTGACCTCAGAGAGCTTTTGGCGACGACGAAGACGAAGGCGTTCCCCACCCCCACCAGGTAACCTATAAGTGCAATTATCAGCCAAAGTTGAAAATAGAATAAATTTCACGATTACTTTTGTTTAAAAGTAAGCTGAGCTCATGCTCTTTCGGGACTTAAATCACAAGTCGAATCGCAAGTCAATCGCAATCAGTTTGATTCAAATTGATTGTGACGGAGGCATTCCGTTGCTAATATTGATCCCCATCCTTATGATTTGGCGTGTGATTTGATTTTTGATTGAGTTGTGATAAATTGTTTTGATTACGACTCGGCAGTTTACATTTTTGTGTTTTTATGTCTACTACACTCATCTTACTTGTATAGCAACTACATTGTACCACTGTATTTTCCCTATAGAGGGCGCAATTCATCCTCTAAAAGTGAACACCACTGATCTCATGGAGATCAGTGGTTCACACACTGATCAGTGTATTCACTCGATAGCCTACCCACAGTTCCCCGCGATAAAAGCGACGTTCAAAAAGGCGGACGTTTAGGATGGTGGATTGTTAGTAGTAAAATATCCTTGCCTAATTCTGGCATTTGTGTAGGAGTTTTTCTAGTTTGGAATTATTGTCTTCATTCTTTTTATTCTTTTCCGTCTTCGTCTTAAATGTGAGTTTTGTATCCATACCAATCATGAACACTATATCACCTAATACAGTAATAGTGTACAAATGCCCCCTTCTGACATGTACGTTGATCAATAAACAGGCCCAGATTAAGTGTTTCGTATAGGCCCTATATAGCACCATGCAGTGTTCGTGGCCCTCCACCCTAGGCACCGGCACCGAATTCATGTTGATGCAGTTAAGTACAAAGCACTGTTCAAATCAAGCCAGGCCAAACTGGTGAAGGCCCTAGCTTCCTAAACGTGGGGACTGTTACGTACATTGTGTACTTTGATCAGAACTATAATGCAAGTCTAGACGCTCTATAGACGCTCTGTCGTGCGATCTGAGGCAATTTCTGACCACTCTAACCAGTTAAAAGCAAAAGATCATCATTTAAACATTTTCGAGTTTGGAGTCATTTGATCAGCTGTTCTGAGCTATAGAATCTACGGAAGCGTGTATGACCATTTGCGTTACTGCGTTACTGAGATAAAATATCTTGGAAACATGGAATTCCCTGAAAGGCTATCACGGAAACGTGGAATACTGTGACAGGTTATCGTGGTAATGTGAAATACCGTGATAGCCTATCACAGAAATTTGGAATTCCGTGACAGGCTATCATGGAAATGTGGAATACTGTGATAGCTCATCACAGAAACTTGGAATATCGTTATAGCCTATCACAGAAACATAAAATTCCTTGATAGGCTATCGTGAAAGCATGTAATTCCACGATGGGCTGTCGTGGAAACGTGGAACCTTGTGATAGGCTAACGATATCATTGCATTTCGCTTTGTCACGATAAAACATCCCGGAATGCCATGTTGCTGAGATACCCTATCGCTGCATTCCACGTTTCCACGATAGCATATCACGGAATTCCACTTATTTATGATAGCCTATCACGGAATGCCACGTTTCCACGATAACCTACCACGGATTTCCACGTTTCCATGATAGGCTTTCATGGAATTCACCGTTTTCTTGATGGGCTATCGCTGCAATCCAATTAGTTGTAAAGATATTTTATGATGGAACTCTATGTTTCCAAGATATTTTATCTCAGTAACGCAGTAAATATCATTACAATGCGCCGTGAATATCGGCACATATTTTCCAGTATGCATAATAATAGTCAGTTTTGAAGAGCGCCGCCATTTTGAAGATGGGTCCCAGCCCCCCCCCCCGAAAAAGAGTACGAGTGCACAAAAACGGATACGCCAGTGCCCGTAATGTAATAATTGACCACTCGTGTTATACCGACCCGATTTACTTCAGATATTTCATTACTGGTCAATGTGTATGTGTACATATCGGGTCGGTATTACACTTGTCAATTATTACATTACGGGTCGTAACACGAGCGCCCTAAAATTCCCATTACCTTAACCATCATTGTCACAGACTAGTGCAGGGCCAGTTGAAAATGTGCCTGTTCGGGAGGGGCAAATTGCTTGACCGCTGGAATTGGTTGCTTGCAGCGTTTTTGAGAACTGCTCATGCAAACAACGCACACGATTCAATGGTAGTCACAGGTTGAACGCACACTCACATGTGCAAGTTGAACGCACATTTCTTTTTACATGTGGACAGACAATAATAGAAATGAGAAAGAAAAGTGTGATATTGTTCATTTACCCATTGTTGATAATGGAATAGCCCCCTAGTGAAGTACCCATTGTTGATAATGGAATAGCCCCCAGTGAAAGTCAGCCAGCTCTATCGTCCGTCCCCCCCCCCCCCCCCCTACAAACAGGACGCTGGGATACTCTGATGAATTCACGCTCTGATTGGTTGGATTTTGCGTGACCTGTGACTTGAGCGTCATTACGGTCATGACTCTGCATTCGCTCGTACCCCCCGCCCTGCAAAACAGGACGCTGGGATGAGCTTCACAGAATCTTGTGAAGGAAGTAGCCTATGATATAAAGCATCTGGCTGCAGCTGTTCAAGACCGCAGTTAGACAGTGTGCGAAATGCTATCCGAAAACTTCCCATACAAACGCGCACATTCCATTCCGGATGTGAATTCTGTTTCATTGCGGACCACGTGGACAAAATTTTGAGCGTCGCATAATGCAATCCGACCGTTCGTGATTCGAAACGGAGCCTGAGAAAGTGACGGAAAGTTTACAACACAGATAAGTTTTACAGAATTTCCTACATTAAAACGCTTTTCAACGAAAAAAAATCTCTGAACTGGAATAAAAGAGTAATGAATCAGTCTTAACGGCCGTTTTAAACCTTGCAGAATCATCCAATACTAAATGGCTCTCCGGTACGTACGATGAGTGCAGTAGACTCCACTCGCGTGCTCCGCATGGAGGGATTCTACTCGGAGAACATCCCTCCCTCCCACTGAGGGCTCTCTCCAGCTGGGCCCAATTTCACGGCGCTGCTAAGCACACGATTTTCTGCTAATAGAGCCTCCGTCTATTTCATGGAGACCATATAAGCATAAGCACAGCAAAAGGCACGCTTACTTAAGAGGAAAAAAATTGCCTAATCCAGTGACGTACAATAGAAATCTCCATGCTCGAGCGAACGTTAGCTCATCCTCGCCGTAAAAGAGTGCTTAAGGTTAGCAAATTTTTCTGCTATGCTAAGCACAACTTTTCTGCTAACTGTTAAGCAGTGCCGTGAAATTGGGCCCTGCAGATCCTAAGGCCGCTCCGTCCGACTTGGCTATGGCTGGAATAACACACGGCTCTATGGAAAGTGGCTGCAAGACAGTCATTTGATATAACGGCCGAAATTTTACTCAAGAAAAGAGGCAGAATGGCGGGTGGATTGTGTGGCATTGTGGGTAGGCTATTGCGTGAACCCATAGCGAATGAATTGCGCCCTATAGGAATTGGCAGCAGACAGTGTGGTGGTGGACGGTGTCAAAATGACAGAACGTTTTACTGCATTATCAACCCTAACCTTTTCTGCCCAGTCTGCACCCTGGTTTGTTTGATTTAGACTAATTTTTGTTTTTAACCAAAACGTCAGACACTACCCCGCCGTCTTTTGGTTCAACATGCCCGGGATTCGTCACCTACACCACTAGCGAGGCAGACGGCCGTCGTGTAGTCACCTACAGTACTCCTCGGGCCACCGACGACCGGGGAACAGTCACCGTCAGGTAAAACAAAATGAAGATTGCATTGCATCAGGTTCAAGAGGCTGACAATTGACGTTTACGTGCTCAATGCCAAAGTATAAAGCCTGATTGCCGTGAAAAAGATTGTTTGCAGTTTGGCATTTTGGAGTCCTCCTTCTAAGAACCATTTAAAGGTGTACGTTCTTCCGGATATTACCAAAATTAAGTGCTTCCTAGAATTTATTATTATAGGGTTTCCCGGCTATTTTAACACTTGTATCACACGAATTCCCTATATCGCTACTTTAATTTCGTCCCCAATCATCGCCCAGCTCACATCTCAATTTGAATTTCAAAAAGTCACCACTAGATTTCATTGAATGTTCAGTGTATTTCAAATTTTTAGCATACCGATTCGTCCAAAATCTCTGAAATTCGTCTCGTGAAGCAATCGGCGTTGAATTGACAAAGCAAATTCGTTTTTTGTCATTCATTTTCATGTTGATATCATTACATTTCGTTTCTTGTGACTTAAAACGTTACAATTAAAAATGTGCCCAATCTTTGGACTTATTTAAAGAATTGTTGCACATTAATTAAATTTTAATTTTTAACAAATAATTCCTTATAAATGAAAGAAGTTACCTGTAAGTTTTGAGTTTTCTTTGACAATTAACATTAAAATCAGAAATGGAACTTTCACAATATGCTCATTGTTTAGCATATGGAAATAAAGCATTGACATCAAACACCTTCGCAATGTTTCTCTTTGATATATGTATATGAATAGAACAACAGAAATAAGATATGTCTATCAAAGAGCAATTTTCATTAAGAAGGTGTTTGACCTTAATGCTAAGTGTCCATGTCTTATTGTGAAATGTCAATTCATGACTCTAATGTTAATTGTGAAACACAGAAATAAAAATTCATACCTTATACAGCTAACAACTTATATTTATACATAATAAGGTGTGTTGAAATTATCATTGTTTTAATGCGCACAATTCTTCAAATAAGTCTAAAGATTGGGCGCATTTTTTATTTGTGTTCACTTTAAGTCACCAGAAACGAAATGTAATGACAACATGAAAATGACTGACAAATAACGAATTTGCTTTGTCATTTCAACGCCGATTGCTTCACGAGACGAAATTCAAAGATTTTGGACGAATCGGAATGCTAACAATTTGAATTATACTGAACCTTAAATGAAATTTTGTGGTGGCTTTTTGAAATTCAAATTGAGAAGTGAGCTTGGCGATGATCGGGGACGAAATTAGTATTTATATAGGGAATCCGTGTGATATAGCCGGGAAAACCTATATTAGCCAGATTTTAAAGGTCTACATGGGTCACAGGAAATTCAGATAAAGTTTTTTATGGACTTGCGTTACTCGAACTCAAAATGAATACTCATCTATCTAAAACAACTAATCCCCATTTTGGGAGTCCCATTTGGGAGTCCTTAATTATTTATTTACAATTTTATAATATTTTATATAATTTTATATAATATATATTGTATATTATTTCAAATATTATATATAAATTTAATAACATTTGCAGCTTTATGCAGATTAATACATGGGCCTACATTGCAAGAAAATGTTCCTTTGAAAGTTTGAATTTGTTTCCATGGCAATGTTACATTTTTCAATGTAAAGCTTAGTTGCAATAAAACGTGAACACAATATTACTACTTCCCACTCAGATTCAAGACGTTTGGGATTTAACTAAATACATATATAATTTCCTTTTAGTTTACAAACAATTAAAAACTTCCTTTGAAGTACCAGAAAAATCAAAATATTAATATTTCATATTATAACCTTGTTAACAATTCAGAAAACAATATAAAACTGTTTGATAGCATTTCCTGGAATAAGCTGAGATAATTGCGGTGATAGACAGATAGAACAAATACAAGAAAGTGGAGCTTCTGAACCCAAAAAGAGAGGAGATAAGGGGAAAAACGAAAGGCTAATGGGATGGTGGTGGGTTACTTTTCATCGGCAAAAGTTTGCCTTTTCTCCGGTCATACGTCAGTGCATGGTGGAATCGAGAATGACGCGACGCCAACTTCCTGGGGTAGTCATGATGCCCCTGTAAAAATATGTGCCTACCTTTCATAAATGAGTAAACTTTACACAAACTTCGTGAAAGAAAAAAAAACAACAGATGTGGTGCCACCACAAACTCATTGTTTTAGAGGCGTGAGGGGCATACTAACTGCCCACACATGTTGATTGGCCCTTAACCTATATAACATTATTTGGTAACACTATGACTTGCACCAAAGGGCATGGGTAAGTACCGATAGGCTAACAAGTTATATAGGGTTCAACGTGTGTACATGTACCGGTACCTATATTATCATGCACATCTATACTACAATCGCGAAAATGATTCGGGGGCGCTGCCATTTTCCCGACCGGTCTCCCGTCCCCATCGCGCCCGTTGGCCGCGGGGGATGCGGAACGGGGCCCGGCTATTTCCACCCTATTTCTATCTCCTATTTCCCATAATTCCCTTCCCCATTGGACCGCGCCGGCCATCTTGCGTATGGGCCGGTGTCACATGAAAATTCGACTCCTATGAAAATCGGACCCCTATTTCCCTATTATTGGTTGATCCCTCGCGCGCAAGTGACAGGTCACTCTCCCGAAATGATCCTAAAAATAGCGCAGTATCGTACTCACGCGTGCGCAGTACTACCAATGAGTCCACATTTCATGGAGTCGCATATTCACGCTACACCTGTCGTGCCACGTATACGTATACGTTCGTATAGAGGAGCATGCGCTGCATGCAGCGCATGCAACGGTATTCCATGTGTTCTTATTCCTCCATGATGCAACATGCAAAGCTAAAGGCATGCTTGCCCCACATTTCCTCAGCACTACTAGCTTCGTTTGATGGTCGTTTGATGCATTGATTATGCTACAATTTTCTCTTTCAATGGTAAGTCCGATTTGTGCTATGACACTCCAATAGTAGATTATAGTTAGTAGTAATTCTTTCGAACACCTCTGGCAAAGGATTATAAGTATTCTTTCGAACACCACTGCTGGCAATGACAATTGTTGTCTGTGAAAAGTGTGACCCAATCGCGTGGGCCTCGGACATGGCGATCGTGTAGTATTTAGTAGGGCCCGGTTCCTATAGGGAACAAAATCCACTTTAAAAAAGCCCGACCAAAATAGTTGGAGACATTCTCAATAAACAGGTATGTCATAGATAGAGGGCCGGGTTTTTATTTTTTTAGAGAATATTTTTTTTTTGGGGGGGGGGGGGGAAATTACGATGACAGCACAGCGAAAACACGCAACCCGAAAATAAAGATGGCGATTACTGCGCGATGTGCTGTGAGCACGCACGGCGCGCAGAATCGTAAGGCACAAGCCGCGCAGGAACAATTGATTTGTAGCTATTGTTAGCCGATGTATTTTTTTTTACAAGTTTTCTTTGTTACTCCTTTACACAGGACTCCCGATGACACCCACATCACATGACCAGCTCCAACCATGCTCCAAGCATGCTCCAGTGCATGCTTCAACCAGTTCCCAAAGCAAGAATCTCGACTCAAGACGAAGACGTGACACACCTATTCTTTCCAGTTCATCTGCAAGATTCCTGCTTTTTCTCTTTACCCATTCAAAACACATTTTTCTTCTAGCCATAATTTTATTATTTAGAAGTCATGAAAATGAAATAGTGCAAAAATAATCACTCTTTTCTGCTGTTTTATGTCCATCCTTTTTTAAAGTTATATCCTTGGCTTAGTTGTACCCAAGAATAATTATGGAATGATTACCCGTCTTGCTTGAAAGTCTTTCATGGAATGTTTTTGCCTATGCTAAACAAGCCTGGACCGACGTCCCTTGCGAAAATCGCTCCGAAAATTTACTACAATTATATCCCCTGAGTTTTGTCGAAGTACTACCCTGTAATGAATGCAAATACATTATTACTAAAAAATTCGTGTGTGCATTGTACCTGATTTCATTTTCACAATTTTGTAATAAATACATTTAACATGTGGTGCTTGACATAATTATGAAGTGCTCCAATATGTCCTTTCTTATAGTTTTACTCTCTTCTGCAAATAAACGTGTTACAATACTTTGCTCTACAACCCCATCACCATAATAAAAACACCAACTGTTATAATGACATTAACTACTACTTAATACATAAGAAACACCCCCTTCACCATAACGAATATAAATTGTTGCCCACTTCCCCGGAAATATAAGTGACCATTCACAGGTGTAACATAAGTAGGCATGGGCGTCACAAGGGGGGGGGGGGCAAGGGGGGCACTTGCCCCCCCCCCCTGGAAAAGCAAAAAAAAAAAAAAAAAAAAGGGGAAAAAATGAGTTAAATTTTACATTTTTAATGAGTTGGGGGGGCTAAATGTCCGTGCCCCCCTCTAAAACTGATAAATGGAGAATGTGTTGAGAAAAACAGGCATATTTTTGGCAAAAATATGTTTTGCCCCCTTTAGAAAACAAATCCTGGCGACGCCCATGTAAATAGGCCACACAATATCCAACCCCCACCCCCACTGGCTTCCCCCTCCTCTCCTCTGTAGTGAGAACGATGAATACGACGTTGTAAAGGCCAAGATCAAACCGCGTTTCATCTAAATTACCAAGTCCTTTATGGTTTGGCACCTTGAAAAATCAATGTTCAATTTGACTGGACAATATTCCAGCACAACAGTAGTTATGAGCTTTATATACATGTAATGAGACATTGCATGAGACAATCGGTCGGCAATAAATACTTAATTTCATTCAACTGTTGACAGCAAGACCTTCCTAATCGGTGCGCAATTTAAAACAACATTTAAACGGTATGAATCCCAGCACAAACATAAACCTCCACAATATCAGCGATTTCAATATCACCATCTCCCCTCTATAACAAAAAACATTTCTCCCCGTCCCTGGAAATATTTCTCCCCATCCCCGGAAATATTTGTGACATGGTTGACGGGTTGTACGGAAATTGGGCGTTCCGACTAGCACCCTTCA